GAGGTGGAACTGGATGGCTGCTAACCTTCCTTCCAGATCTGTATCATTGATCTGATTATTTTAAAATTGATGGGTTCTCCCCACTCTCCATTAAAAAAAAGCCCCCTCTTAATTCCTCAACTCTCTCTCTGAGGAGCTCAATCATCCTTCAAGGCTTAGCTTGTGATCACTTCCTGCAAGAGATCTTTTAAAACCAGAAAAAAGTCAGCTTAGATGAAACTGTGAGCTCCTCTTACATACTATTTATTTTTTGTTTTTTGGTTTTTGGTTTTTTGCTGAGGGCAGTTGGTGTAAGTGACTTGCCCAGAGTCACACAGCTAGTGAGTGTTATGTATCTGAGGCCGGATTTGAACTCAGGTCCTCCTGACTCCAGGGCCAGTGCTTTATCCACTGTGCCACCTAGCTGCCCCCCAAAATATGTGTTAAATTTAACAGGAGAGGACCAAAACTGCCATTTTTGTCTCCATCCATTTTTGAAATTTCTTCTGCTCTTTTCTCTGTATTTTAAAAAAGTGTTTCATTGATGTGTTTTTCTTCCTTTTTGCATCACTATCACTATCATCAGTCACACAGAACTAAACCAAAATTTTTCACATCCCCACAATAAGGAGCCCTGTGTCTTTGGGCTGTGACTAAAATGTCTGTCTCACTCCACACCTTGGATCCATCACCTCTTTGCCAAGAGATGGGAAATGCTTCAGCCTGTGTCTCCTGGAGCCTTGATGGGTCATTGCACTGACCTGAGCTCTGAAGTCTTTCAAGGCTGTTTTCTTTCCTGTTATTGTTCTCATTGTGGAAACTGGTCTCCTTGCTCTATTCCTTTCATTCTGTATTAGTTCAGACAGTGTTTCCTTGGGATTCACTGGATCCATCCCTTTCATCACATCTCACAGCCTGAGGACATACTTTTATTCTCTTAGAACAGAATGTATTCAGTCATTTCTCAGATAGTAGTACCCACTTTGTCTCCTGGCCTCTGCTCCAACAAAAAGTGCTGCTATGTGTATACACACATCTATCTCATATATATCTATACATATTATATTAAATATATACATATGTATATTTGTGTTTATGTATATGTGTGTGTGTGTATGCATCTCATCTGTGTATCTTCTATTTTTGTCTTCCTTTGCAGTATATACCTAGTACTCTTTATTCTGGGTCAACAAAGGATTTGGATTTAACTATAAATTTCTTTCTTTGCTTTAAAAATATATTTCCAATCAGCAAAAATTCACCTTTTCAGCCTCCCAAACTTATACTTCTCCCTCTCAAACTGAGAGAAAACCCCACCCCATTGTAATCAGGTACCGTCAAGCAAAATAAATTGTTACATTGTCCATTTTGAAAAGAAAAATTCTTATTCTGCATTCTGAGTCCTCTTGATCAGGAAGTAGATAGTATGTTTCATCATTAGTGCTCTAGAATCGTGGTTGGTTATGATGGTGATTAGAGTTCCACAGTCTTTTAAAATAGTTTGTCTTTGCCATATTGCTGTTACTGTATGAATTATTCTCCTGATTCCATTCACTTCATTCTACATCAGTTCACACTATCAGTGAGTCAGTCAATAAACATTCATTAAGCACCTACTATGGGCCAAACACTGTGCTAGGTATTGGGAATCAAAAAGAGACAAAAGCCAAAACCCAGCCTAGGTGACTGGGAGGATGGTAGTGCCTTTCGGTGTTCAATAAAAAGAGGCATTTGAAGCATTCCTACAAAGAAAATCAGATGTGAGCAGATTGTTTGCTTTGTAAAAATACTTCACTAGACCTTAGCTAGATGGTGTTCTACTCAAGGTATTATTCTGCATATTTTTCCTTCCTTTCTCATCCAGACTCCTACAAAAAGTGTCAGCACAAACTGTCTCTACCCCTTCTCTCCCTCGCTCCTCATCCTTTGCAGTCTGGCTTCCCACTTCATTATCCAACTGAGACTGCTCCCTCCACAGTTCCCAAGGATCTGTGTCTTAATTGACAAAGACAATGGTCTTTTCTCAGACTTCCTCCTTCATGAGCTTTCTGCTGAATTTGGCCCTGTCAGCCAACCTCAGCTCCTGGGTATTCTCTCCTCTCTGGGTTTTTGTGACTCTGCTCTCTCTTGGTTCTCTCCTTATGTCTGATCTCTCTTTCTTTGCAGGCTTATCATCCACATCATATGTCCTAAATGGGGGTGTTTTCTAAGGCTCTGTCCTGGGTCCTCTTTTCTCCTCTCTGTGAGTTCATCAGCTCCAATAGAGTTCATTCCCATCTCTGTTCAGATGACTCCTGGTTCTGTGTTTCCTTCCCCAATCTCTGTCCAGTATCACCTGCTGCCCCCTCAATATTTCAGGCCTGATGTCTCCAAGCTCTCTTAAACACAACATGTCCAAAATTGAACTCATTGCTTTTTCCCCAACCCCATACCTCTTTTGAACTTTCCTATTCTTAATGAACATAATACAATTCTTCTACTCTCATGGTCCATGACCTTGGTTTTATCTTCAATTCCTCACTCTGCTTCCCCCTACAGAGGCACTGCCATAGCATCCCTTACATTTGGTGGATGAAAGATGAAATGACCAAAACAAAGGTTCGAGCTTCTGAGCATACTGATTTATTAAGCAATGTATGCTAATTATTTAACAAAGTAGGACCAGACCTTCTCAGCTTAGGGCTGGACCCCAGATATAGTGGAAGACAGACTTTTATATATTAGAAACAATCAAATAAGGTCAATGAACTAAAAAGAAAGAATACAACATTAGGTAATTTGAATTCTAAATGGAGGAAGGATTGGAGTTGTTCCAAGTTGGAGGAGGGAGAGCAAACAGGTACAATTCCTTGAAATCAGAAAAAGAGGTGTTTCCCTTACCCAAGTGTCTGAGAACAATCAAAGGAACATGGAAACAATGACCGATTGAATAGTATGGGGCCAGTTTTCAGATGAGACACATTGGTGGCTTGGGATGTCCAATTGTGACAAAACTCCTTGCTTCAGTCTCTGCTTCTGCCCTTGTTTCTGGCCAGCATCACTTCAAGGGCCTTAGTCAAAGGTCTCTAAGCAGCAGGAAGGGGTGGTCCAACTTCCCAGCCATGCAGTGCTAGATTCAAACAATGAAATAAGGTTTTCTCCCAATTCCCACAACTGAATACAATTTTCTCACAAGACAGAAATTGGACTCTGCCCATAATCGAATAGAAAGAGAACTGAGCTAGCTCCAGAACTGAGTCACAAGATGGAGGCAGTGTGGTTCATACAATTCAACACTTTGTGAACAAATCTCTTCAATTTCTTCCTGCCTCCAACCCTTTCTGCTCAGACCCTCATCACCTCTCACCCAGATTATTGTAATGGTCTCCTAATCGCTCTCTCTGCCTCAAGTCTCTGTTCACTCCAGACCATCTTTCACACACCTAAAAATGTGTTTTTCCTTAAGATTTTCTAAATCTGACTAAGTTACCCCTCTTCTCAATAGACAGCAGTGGCTCCCTATTCCTTCTGTGATCAATTATAACTTAATCTGTTTATTCCTTCACAATCTGGCTCAAACCTGTCTTATGTGATAATCCTCCTCTTCCTGTACTCTGCAATCTGCCCAAACTGGCCCTTTCCTCACACATTGCATCATCTCCCATCTCTGGACCTTTGCATCCCCAATCTTGGAATACCCTCCCTCCTTGCCTGTGCCTCATGGATCCTCTCTTCCTTGAAGGCCCAGCTCAAGCACCACTTTGTAGGTGAAGCCTTTCCTGATCCCCCCAAATGCCAGAGTCTTCCCTCCCTCCCTCCCTGTCTTCTCATTTGGATTCAGGCTGTCTACACTTTTATGGACACTTGTCACTCCCATTTGAATGTAAAGCTGGGGATTCTTCCATTCTCTATATTTGTATTCCCAGAACCTAACAGGGCTCTTGGCACATAGTAAGCACTTAATAAATGCTTACTGATTGACTGACTCTCTTTGGAGAAGTACAGCAGTGCACAGAGAAGGAAAGACTATTAAGTATAAAGAAAGCAAAGAATCCATGAGTTGGGGGTGGAGTGGGGCAGAGAGCAGGCCAGGCATGGAGGCTGTTCACATGTGTGGAGGTTGGAGATGAGATGCTGTGTTTGGGGAGCAGCAAGAAGCCAGTTTGATTGAAACATAAATTGTGTGAGAGAGGCAATAATAGGAGATACAAGAAAGGTAGGCTGCAGTCAGACTGGGGAGGGCTCTAAATGCCAGTTAGGGTTTTGAAATTTTTCCAAGGGTCCATAGGGAGCCACTACAGCTTCTTGAGGAGATGAGTTAAGTGGTCAGACTCAGACTTTCCAAAAATTATTTTGTCCTTTGTTGGGTGGATAGATAAACGATATCAATCAGTAAGTAAACATTATCAAGTGCTTCCCATGTGCCAGGCACTGTGCTGAGTGCTAGTTTACATATAAAAATGAGTCATTTCCTGCCCTGGAGGAGCTTATATTCTAAAAGGAGGAGAATATAAGACATGCCCAGGAGGGTGCCTGGGGGAAGGAGCCCTAGTCCAGCAGTGACGAGAATTGTGAGCAGAGCCATACAGAGCACAGCAGACCACCATTCCCGTTTCAGTAGTGAGGGTAATGTTGATTCGATTATTATCCTCTGATCAAAGAGGAGAGAAGTGTGTGACTTCTAAGTTATGGTAGTGTGTGGGGTTGGGGAGAGGGATACAAAGATACACTGGAGGAACAATGATCAGAGAGGGAGTTAAACTCAGGTGAGAAGGACTTGGGGTGGTTGGTGGGTAAAATTTCCTGAAAGTGTTTGCACCGGGCTGGGTGTAGTTGAGAGGCAGATATGACGCAGCAGACAGACAGGAACGGTCTGGGAATCTCAAGGTCTGGTTCCAGACCTTCCTTCATCCCACATTTGCGGTGTGACCTCTGAAAAGTCACTTGCGGTCTCTGGGACTAAAGGGGGTGGGGTTTAGCATGCGCAGGGAGGGCAGCAGGATATTGGCCATGTTCCCCTTGGTCAGGCCCAGGTTGTGGTCATGCATTCGAGGAGGTGTCCATCAGGGCTGACTCGCCCCTGGGGTGTACCCCCAGAGTACTTCACGAGGCTGTTAAAGTTCGAGTGTTACTTTGAGAACGGGACGGAGCACGTGCGGTATGTGGAGAGACACATCCACAACCGGGAGGAGCTCATGCGCTTTGACAGCGACGTGGGAGAGTATGTGGTGCTGATGGAGCTGGGGCTGCGCGAAGCTGAGCATAGGAACAGTCAGAGAGAGATCCTGGAGAACGAACGGGCAGTGGTGGACACTTACTGCAGGCCCAACTACGAGGCTGCTGAGATCTTCTTACTGGGCAGGAGCTGTGAGTGTGAGCCCCCGGGAGGGGAGGAGGGACGAGGGGAACCCAGCAGGGACCCAGGGAGAGTGAGGAGGGAGCGGGAGAGGGGCAGGCATCCTGGGGAGGGGGCAGAGCAGGGAGGGAAGAGAATAGAAGGGGCTGAAAGGGAGCGCAGAGGGAGGGGAGGGAGGGAGGAGGTTGTGATGGGAGGGGGTCCTGTGGGGAGGAGAGAAGGTGGAAGGGGAGTCGTAAGAGCAGATGCAGGGACAGGGGACCCCAGAGCAGGGGAGAGGCAAGTGGGAGCAGGGGTGAAGGGAGGGGGAGGTGATGGATTGGGAGAGTGGAGAAAGGGAGAGGACCAAGAGGGGAGGAGCAAGGAAGGAAGATGGGGTGGGGAGAGACTGGGGACAAAAGGGAGGTAAGGGGGAAGGAAGAAGAGTGCGGGAAGCCATTGGGATGGAAGGAGAAAGAAGGAGGGATGAGAGGGAGAAAAGGTAGGGAAGTGACAGAGGGAGAAGCAAGGCAACAGAGATGCTGGGAAGGAATTACGAGCAGAAAAACTGGAGATGAGTGAGGGGGACAAGGGCAGTGGAGAGAGAGAAGAAAGGGTAGAGACAGAGGGAAGGGGTAGATGTGCTGGAGAGGGAAAGAGGAAGAAACCCTCTTATACCAGCAAGGATTTTAGTTCCCTGAGTTCTTTTTTCCTCAGCCAAATTCAGATGTTTTTACCTCCACCAATTCTAATGGGGATAAATGGCATTGGGAACAAGTCAAAAACTCTTCACCAATAAATAATTCACATTTATACAATGCTAAAATGGCTAATAGGCAGCTAGGTAGCAGTGTGGAAAGAGTTCCAGGCCTGGAGTCAGGAAGGCCCATCTTTCTGAGTTCCAATCTGGCCTCAGAAACTTCCTACCTGTGTGACCCTGGACAAATCACTTAATCCTGTTTGCCTAAATTCCTCATCTGTAAAATGAGAAGGAGGAGGAAATGGCAAACCCCTCTAGTATCTTTGCGAAGAAAACCCCAAATGGGGTAACACAGAGTTGGATATGATTGAAAAAAGGTTGAACAGCAACAAAATGATTAATATAAAATTAAATCCCCCAAATCCTGGGTGCCCAGGATTTAAAATCTTAAATAAAACTATTCCATTTTTATCCCTGAAACTAAGCTCAGCAGAGGCTTCCCAAGCTTTGCTCTCTCCTGTCTCAACCACCTTCCCTCCCTCCCTTTCCCATCTCAGCCTTCTCTGATAACTGGAAATCTTTCTCAAAATAGTTTATTATCTACACCTGTGATCTGCTTTTGGAAATAATCCATTACAAAATATCCATTTCTAATGAGAAAACTTGCCTGCTAATTTCTTCCCATATCCCTGAATCCTGATGAGCTGGGGCTGTGATAATGCAGCACCATGGACTCCTGGGCCTACTTTCTGCAAGTTCAGAGTTTTAGTCTTAGGGGGAGCTTAAGTGTCTATCAAGATGCCCATTTCTCACCTTGGGGAGGAGAGGAGACCCTAAGCCTGCTTGTGGATCAGGTGACAGAGGTGGGGGCTGCACTAGGAAGACCTGCTGTGGCTCCTTCACTCAAGATCTTTCTTTCTTCCAGTTGAGCCCGAGGTGATTGTGTATCCATCAAAGATGGCTCCTCTGGGACACCACAACCTGCTTGTCTGCTCTGTCAGTGGTTACTATCCTGGGAACATTGAGGTCAGGTCGTTACTGAATGGGCAGGAGGAGACAGCTGGGGTTGTGTCCACAGGCCTGATCAGCAATGGAGACTGGACTTACCAGATCCTGGTGATGCTGGAAATGACCCCCAAGCGTGGAGATGTCTACACCTGCCAAGTGGAGCACTCCAGCCTTCAAAGACCTGCCATCTTGGACTGGAGTGAGAAAGTGTTCCCTCACCTTCCAGTTCTAACATTGCTCGGGACATGTAGCTAGCTCTGAGACCCCCTCAGTGTATGTCCTGTGCCCTCTTTTCTTCTGCCCTGGGCTAATACAAACCCAGTGTGGTGCTACCCACCCTCCTCCCTTTCCCCAGCACAACCCCCTAATGGCAGTGCTGAGCTAAGACCTATGAGACCTAGAACCTGTTCAACATCCTCACTGTCCCCAGCTCTGAGAGCTGGCCTCCCTCCGGGACTCTGTGATCAGCCTATAGACCCCTTTGTCCTGGGGTAGGGGAGCTAGGCTTTGAGATGGATTGATGTCAGTGTCCCCTGATCAGCTTTCCTGAAAGGCCCTTTGCCTATCCATCCCTTCCTTTCTTAGACAGGATTTAGCCACCTTCTCAGGCTCAGCTCAGATCCATCTGCTCCCCACATGGGCTGGCTCCTAGAAGGAAAGTTTTGATCCTTGGTGTCTCTTCTCCCCAGAAGCACAGTCTGAATCTGCCCAGAATAAAATGCTGAGTAGAGTCGGGGGCCTCCTGCTGGGCCTGATGTTCTTTGGGGTTGGCCTCATTGTCCACAACAGGAGTCAGAAAGGTGAGATATTCTGGGGAAACCCTGAGGCCCCTCCCCTCCATGATCTCCTCCAGGAGAGAGAGAATATGTGATTTGCATCAGAAATCTGGCCCCGGGTCAGGGGTGAAGGGGTAGTTTGGCTCTGGCTTTAGCTTTTCCTCTCCAAGATCTTAATGAATGCAGTGAAAGGGCCAAATTCTAGGACTCCAGGGTCTTAGGGAATCCCATTTTCACTAATAGAGACAGCCTTGGGAGGGATCTCAGGTTCCATCCTTTAGCGTCCTCCCCCCTGCCATTCCCCCTTCCCCCATCCATTCACACAGTTGTAGATGGAAGGATAAAGCATCAATTAAGTACTTCCTGTGAACTGGGGCCAAGCAGTGGTAGGAGCCCCCTGTCCCACAGTTCTCAGAACCTCAGTGTCCTTTGCTTCTGTGACTCTAGGATTTACAAGTATTCTTATGTTTATGTCTCTCCCTTCTTTTCCAAGGAAGTCATGGTTCACAACCAACAGGTAAGATTCCTCTACCCAAGTTGCGTCAGGGTTCTCTTAGCTACAGTCTCTGCCCAGTGGGGCCTGAAGCTAAGAAGGGACTTGAGGGCCCTTAGTGGGAAGAAGTGGTTCTACTTGTGGGTTCAGATCCCCATGTAGACTTTTCTGTGATTATTCTATGTCCTCTGCAGGGCTCCTGAGCTGATCCCTGAGCCTGTGTCACCTGGAACTGTTGCCTCCCTTCCACATTTGGAAGCCTCTGTTTATGCCCAGATCTCTAGGAGATTAACCCTACTGACGCTTCCCTGCAATAGCTCCTGCTGCCCTGTACCTTTTCTTCTGGACTCTTAGGCATTTCCCCAGAAGAGCCTTAAAGACCCCCTCCATCCTCCTTTGTGCTTGTACCAGTGTTTTATTCTTTTTTGTCCCTTGAGCCTTCATCCCAATAAATTAGAAGAATGAGAATCAACTGATGTTTGGTGACATGGAGACAAAGTGGAATGAGCAGGGGAAGAAACTTTAGCATTTGGGATTTGTATAATCTGTCAATATGTGAAATGCCTCCAGGTGAAGATTGCAACCCATGTACACATTTCCATTCTGGGTGCCTCTTGTGAGAGTCCTTCCATAAATCCTTTAGAGGACTATTACCCAGCATGCTACTAGCCTTCCTCTGCTTCTTAACATTACATGGATACCAGTGGCCCTCAAAGGCTTTCTACCCAGGAATCCTTCCCTTTCCCTATGTGATGAACACATATTATTCTGGTCATACATCTCTCTGATGACATTGCGTTTGCTCCTTTGGCTCAGTTCTTCCCTGATGATACGCTGTAGCCCATGTTTGCCCATAATGTGCCTCTCCATTGCACTTTAAAGAAGTTAGAATTTTACTAATGCCTTTTGCTTTTACATTATATTCATTTCTTAATATATATCTTCCCTCATTGGACCTTCATAACAAAATTTTTACTCAAAAGTTCTGTAGTAACTATCACATTGATCCCATATATCCAATAGTATATGCAATATCCATAGTCTCCCCACTTCTTTCATGAAGTGTTTATTTTTCCCCTTTGTGGCAAAGTTTAGTAATTGTAATTACATAACAGTAAGTATCATTTTCCCCCATTTTTCAGTCTTTGGGTATGTTTCTTTCCTATTTCTACTTATTATTCTACATCAGTTCATAAGTCTTCCCATGTTCCTCTGAATGTCTCATTTTTGTTGTTTCTCCTGCTGCAACACACTTCCATTACTTTCATGTGCCACAATTTGCTTAGCTCTTTTCTCAGTTGGTGGGCACCCACTTTATTTCTATTTCCTTGTATCCACAAAGTTGTGTAATGAGTATTTTGATACAGAGGCATATCTGAGATCCTTTTCTGTCTTTGACACCCTTAGCATATGTGTTCAGCAGTGAGATCTCAGGATCAAAAGGAATGGAGATGTTGACACTTTTGAGCATAATTTCAAATTATTTTTTGCAATTATTGTACCAGTTCACAGCTCCACAAATAGGGCATCAACCTGCCTATCTTTGTGTAATCCTTCCCACATTTACCATTTTCATGTGTTATCACCTTGGAAGATTTGCTGGAGAAGAAGTAAAACCTCACAGTTGTTTTAATTTCCATTTCTCTCATTGTTAGTGATTTGGAGCAAACTTGAGAACTATTCATTTCCATTGACCTCTTATCTACTGGCAAAGGCTCTTGGCCTTATAGATTGGTGAGATACCTCACAGTATCTTAGATGATAGACCTTTATCAGAGACATTTGATGCAAATACTTTTTTCCCCACCAACAATTATTCTATCTGTTGCTCTTGTCATGCAAAGGCTTCTCAATTTTGGGTAACAAAAATTGTTTTCTCTCCTGATTTTCCTCTTATTTAGTTAACAATTCTCCCCTTAGCCACAATTATGAAATCTACTTCCAGCTATTTCCTGGATCTTTGGTAAAAGTTGGTTAGCTTTTTATTAGTGGCAATAACTGAGTCTTATCCAAGATTTCCCATAAATTAGTGCTATTTGGGGTAAATAGAGGGAAATTTACTGTTAAAAAACATCATACCATTTAGTCATAATGATCATCAGGAAAGGCTTTTAAAATGAGTGGATTTTGTGGTCAGTTCATTGATGTGCAAGGGTGGGACTGGCCAGAACTTACCTTTTCCTAATGATGTTTATGGGAGGCTATTCTTGACCAGCAGCAGAAGTGTCAGGATAGATGGAGATGGGGATGCTGGGCCTCCTCTGCTCTGCATCCTAGCAGAGCCCTTCTCCTCCTTTGGAGCGTGCAGAACCTGTCAGTGTCAGAGCAGTAAGGGAGAGCTGGGGAGATGTGAGAAGAGTGGCAGCTCCCTAAAAGGCTGGTGGGAGATGAAGCACCCAACATTGCTCAGCTACTTTTCCTTTTTGTGTAGAAATAATATCATTTCTAAATGATGTTTCAGATTTCACTTTCCCATAGATTCTAATCCATTGGTCTATCTTTTTTATCTCTACTAATGAACTGAAGGGAAGATGCAGGTGTTTGTTATTATTTCTAGCATTTAGGCTACCAAACTCCTTTATTTGGGTTAATATGAATCTTATCTACGAAATCATCATTTTGGAAACAAAGATCTCAGGAATTTATGGATATAAGGTAAAGTAGGAGAAAGCAATAAATCACACAGGGAAGCAGGCAACTAAATGATTGTTAGGAGCCTGTGAATTCCAAGGCAGTTCTCTTTAACCTCTAAGTAACCTGTCCATTTCCAATGGAATCGACCTTTATGCATGTTTTTTGGTGAGAAAGCAATAGACCATGGGTTCAAGGAATTCATTGTTTCCTTTGATACATTTTCTAGCAATAAATGCCCTTTGATTATAGAGCATCGATCTAGAATTGGAAGAGACCTCTGAGGCCATTTGGTCTAAACCTTTCATTTTATAGATGAGGAAAATGAGACCCCTTAGGATTAGTCAAATTAAATGAGTAATCATTGATTAAGTGCCTTCTGTATGCCAGGGACTATGCTAAGTACTGAGGATACAAAGAAAGGCTGAAAATGGTCCTTTGAAGGAGGTCACAGGCTAAAAATCAAACGGGGTTTTATTTTTATTCCAGTAGGTAATAGAGGGCCACTGGAGTTTAATGAATAGGAGGATAATATGGTCACCCTTGCATTTATTTTTTAAATAGCATTTTATTTTATTCCTATTACATATAAAGAGAATTTTCAACATTCATTTTTATCTGATTTTGAGTTCCAAATTTTTCTTCCTCCCTCTCTCCTGTTCCTCCTCCCCAAGATGGCAAGTAATCTGATATAGGTCATACATGTGCAATCATGCAAACGTATTTCCACATTAGGCATGTTGTGAAAGAAGAAACAGAACGAAAGGGGAAAAAAGTGAAAATAAGAAAGAAAGTAAAAGTAGCATGATTTGATCTGTATTCAGCCTCCATCAGTTCTTTCCCTTGATGTGGATAGCACTTTCCATCATGTATCTTTTGGAAATACCTGCACTTTAAGAAGGTCAGTTTGACACCTGAGTGGAGGATGGCCCAGAGCAGGGAGATACTTTGAGGCAGGGAGACCCCTCAGCAGGCTGTTGCAATAGTTCTGGCCTAAGGTGATGAGGGCCTCAGCCAGGGTAATTGCAGTGTTAGAGGAGAGAGGTTGGCATATATGAGAGATGTTACCAAGATAGAAATGACAGGACATGACAAGTGATTGGATATGGGAGATGAGAGTGTAGAGTCAAGGTTGAGAAGGATATGAGTCTGAATGACTGATAGGATGGTGGTGCCTTCCATAGTCATAAGGAAGTGAAGAAAGACATTGGGTGGGGTACATCATGGGGCAAAAGTAGTGAGTTCAATTTTGGATATGTTGAGTTTATGATCTCCAGAGAACAACTATTTTAGGATTGTCCAATAGGCAGTTAGAAATGGGAAAATGAGAGTCGGGAAAGAGTTTAGAGTTGAACAAATAGATATGAAAGTCATCTGTTTAGAGATTATAGCTTAATATATGGGAGCTGACAAGATCACCAAGCTAAATAATATAGAGGAAGAAGAGAAGAGGGCCCAGAACAGAGCCCAAGGTCACACAGGAAGTGTCAGAGGCTAGATTTGAATTAATGTTCTCTGATTCCAGAGGGAGTGACCTTTCCAGTGTAATGTTGCTTAACACTGGGTAGTACAATGCCCAAACAGTGGGGAAAGGAAGTCCCTTGGCTTTACCTTGCCATTTATTGGGAATGTGTGTTACTCCTTTGCAAGTAGTGCTAGCTTTCAGTTTCAGTATACTTTAATCATTTTCATAACAACAAAAATGTTATATATACATATAGGTCAAATCTTTATGGGCAGCACTTTTTGTGGCACCAGAGAAGAAGAGACGAGTGCTCTTTGATTTCTTAATGGCAAGCCAAATCATGTTATATAAATTTAACAAAGCAGAAGAAATCAGAAAAGACATGGAAGACACATTGACTATTATATACAGTAAATATAACAATTTAAAAGGAAGGAATAAATCACCAAACCTGACTGACATGTGCTAATGACTAAATTTGAGCCCCTTAGAAGAGGTGAGGAAATGGACATCCCTCCATTGCAGAAGCAAAGGATTATGGGTGTGAAATGATAATGTCAGACACAGTTCCTGTATTGGCTGCTTTTGGTGAAATTTTTTTTCTCTTTTAAATAAAGGGGAGGGATGTATTCATATATGAAGGTCATGTAAAAATGAAAGATCAATTTTTTAAGCAAAGGAAATTGAGCATTCACAGATGGAAAGATCTTAAATAATCAACATATACTTGTATATGTTTTGGAAAGGGAGGTGATAAGAAAGCACTGGAGCTTACTGAGTATATGTGGAGGTTGTAACTACACTTGAGGAAAATTGCCTCAGCAAATCTGTGATAGATGACTGAGAAGCTCTTGCAATAATCAGGAGGTGATGGAGGACTGAATTAGAAGGGGACATATGCAAGAGATGTTACATAGACACACACACACACACACACACACACACACACACACACAAACTAGTATATGACTGGATATGTAGGGGGAGTGAAGATGACATTGAAGTTTCAGACATGGATGACTGGAAAGATGTTGGTCACCTCATTACGAATAATGGATTTGGGACTCGGGCAGGCGGGGAGAAGTTCAGCCTGCAATGGGCCCCACCACTACTCTGTTGCTATTGCAACACAGCTGCTTGTGGCTGCTGCAGAACTCCCCCCACCCCACCATGGAAGAGAGACAGGCGAGGAGCCCCCAACATC